TCAGATTGCAGAAAAAATACAAGGCTGCCAAAGGGCATTCATACTATGTTTTTAAGCATTCATACAGTAGATAGAACAAATTAGAATAATTCTCCCCATTCCTATTAGCAACTAAAAAAATCTTCTTGAAAGAATTTTATTTCCTTTACAAGACTCCTAGCAGAAACTGTGTTTGTCCAGTAGGCCAGAAATTATCCAGCTAATAATCAAGAGAAACACAAGCTGATCACTTTACTCTGACACCCCAACTCTCTTATTAATTTAAGGGCTATGAACAAGGGTTACTGCTTAAAATGCTTAGATCCAATTACTCTGGTCAAATTGGGATTATGAGCATCAAAATGAATAATGATTAAAATAAAATCCATGAGTCCATGCTAAAATAAATAAGTGGACTGAAAAGATAGGGCAAGGAGAAGAAAAAAGCTCATTTACAGAAGATTGGCATCTGTAGAAGGAATCATAGAAATAGAAAAATCATTATTTTACAGCCATTATAGTAATAATTCAGGCAAGAATCATCATGTAAAAAACTACTAGGGAACCAGATGTTCATTCAATATCCAAGTATCACCACAGATTATTTATTAATTACAAAGGAGAAAGTGTACCTTTATAAGAAAAGTTTGGCAGACAAAGCCTTAACCAAATGGTCAAACTCAACACTACCCATGATGGGGAAAGCTAACAATGTGGCCCTCTGCTGCAATACGCTGAGAAGGATACATCATTTATCTAGTACTCTTGCCCAGATACTTAATCTGAATGAAGAAACAATCAGACAAATTCAAATTACCAGACATCTTAAAAAAAAAACCAAAAAAAACCCCTAGACTTGACTTAAAACTAAGGAAGGTCATGTGTGGGTTTTCCCTGATAGCATGAACTGAACGCCCAGCCACCAGCTAGCACCACCACCAGACATGTACACAAATAAGCCTACAGATGATTTCAGCCCTCAGGCTTTATGTGTTCTAGCTGTGGTCCTAGGCATCACACAGCACAGAGAAACTATCTCCTACCCTATCTGAATTCCTCACTCAAAGAACTGTGAGCGATAATACATAATTATTACTGTTTCAAGTCACCAAGTTTTAGGATAATTTGTTATGCAACAACAGATAACTAATATACACTCTAATAAGGCAGAATCTCAATTTTCCTCAGTAGTGCCTACCTCACAGTAGGTACTTCATAGTACCTACTATGCCATACTACTATGGTAGGGGAGTGCATGAGGTGCTTTGGGAGAGCACAAAGAAGGGCCTCTGACACAGTCCTGAGGTCACAGGAGGCTTCCTAAATTCAACAAAGGATTAACTGGGTTAAGAAAGCAGCAGAGGGGGCGCCTGGGTGGCTCAGTCGGTTAAGCGTCTGCCTTCGGCTCAGGTCATGATACCAGGGTCCTGGGATCAAGTCCCGCATCGGGCTCCCTGCTCTGTGGGGAGCCTGCTTCTCCCTCTCCTCCCCACTTGTGCTGTCTCTCTCACTATCTCTGTCTCTCTCTAATAAATAAAAAACAAAAATCTAAAAAAAAAAAAAAAAAAGAAAGCAATAGAGGTATTTCTGCCAAAGGAAACAGATTAAGCAAAGGTAAACAAGCTAGAAACACCATGGTGTATGTAGAGAATAAGTTTTATATTGGTGGAATAAAAGGAAGAAGTGACAGGAAACAAGGTTGCAGAGTTCAGAAACACAGAGGCCCTTGTATATGAAGTTATGGACCCTATGACAATGGATTTTATACAGAGAAGTGACAGAGATTTGAAAATTTAGGTAGATAATCCTGTTAAGGGTAATACGGGAGCAAACTTAAGAATGGTAATGCTTTGAAGGAGATATGGATGTGAACTACAAGGGAAATGGTTGGACAAAACAGGAGTTGAGAAATAGGAAAGAAAAATCAGGAAAAATTCATAACTAACTGGCTAAGTATATATTGGAGAGTTGAGCGGGACAAAGAAAAGATTCTATGTTAATACTTCAGTTTCTAAACTGGGTAGAGTGGTACCCCCCATCAAAATCAGATAAAGAAAAAGGATTGGGCTTGGAAGAAAAGAGTTTAGCTTTCATCTTGGTGAGTCTGGAGTATCTATGGAACATCCAGTTGGAAATGTCTAACAAGAGGATATAAATTCAAGTCTCAAATTAGGGGGAAAGGTCAAAATAGAAATATAGATCTGGGAGTCTTTAGTATATAGGTAATTATTAGAATTGTGAGATAACCTAAGAATGGCCAGATAGAACTTACAGAGTAGTGGTTCTCAACCAGGGACAATTTTGCTCCCTCAGGGGACATTTGGCAATATCTGAAGACAGTTCTGGTTATCATAATTGGGAGGATAAGGGGGGTTTACTACAGGTAGTAGACAAAAGCCAGGGACACTGCTAAACATCCTGTAATGTACAGGAGAGCCTCCCACACAACAAAGAATTATCTAGCCCCAAAATGTCACTGAGTCCCAAAGTTAAGAACCCTATTGCAGACTAAGGAAAAGTCAGAGAAGAGGTAAATCGAGAAAACTTACTGTCATGGAAGTCAGAGAAGCAGAGGATTTCACAAGGGGGGAGAAAATGTTGAATTCAGTACATTAGACTCATACAATAAAGATTTTGAAATACACACTGGGTCTTCACCCCTGCAACACAGGGATTTTAGTGAAAGGAGAACCAGATTATAGTAGTAGAGGAATAATGAGAGATGAGAAAGTACAAAAAGTAAAAGCAACTCCTCGGGAAATTTTATTGGAAAAGGAAAGAAATACGATTGGGCAGTAACTAAAACAATGGTTCTCAACTCTGGCTACAATCAGAATAACCTCAAAAGCTTTTAAAAATTACCAGTGCTTAGGGGTGCCTGGATGGCTCAGACGGTTAAGCGTCTGCCTTCTGCCTTCGGCTCAGGTCATGATCCCAGGGTGCTGGGATACAGCCTCACGTCAGGCTCCCTGCTCAGTGGGGAGCCTACTTCTCCCTCTCCCTCTGCCTGCTGCTCCCCCTGTTTGCACTCTCTCTCTCCCTGTCAAATAAATAAAATTTAAAAAAAAAAAAAAAATTACCAGTGCTTAGATCTCACCCAGAATACTTAAATCGGAATCCTTGGGGACAGGGACCAGGTATCAGGATTTTTAAAAATACCTCAGTGACACTAATGTACAGCCAGAGTTGAAAACCATGCTGCTAAAGTGTGTGGGGGGGCGGGGCAGCAAGAGGGAAAAAGGGAGCAGGGAGATGAAAATGGATGAAACTAAATCTCAGAGGAAATAGGTAAAGAATAAGTCAGAAACATGGGCTGATGGAGTTACTTTGAAAACAAAGGCAGGATACCTCATCTTAGGAGACTGGAAGGAGAAATAAATATTAATGTAGAAAAATGTGACCCAGGGTTTTTGGGAGTTCATGTCTGAGGCCCCAATTTTCAAAATGAAGAATATAATCAGCTGCTGAGAATGAGCTACCAGACAGGAAATTTGGAGTGAGATTTGGCGGAAGTTCAAAATATTTCCTGAGGGGAATGCAAATTAAAAGACTAATCAAAAGCATTGACAGTCTAATGGAGATTAAATATACTTTGCCAGCTGCAGGGGCACCAATGGGCACATTAATGATTTTCCTCCAGCAGTACTCAGCCATTCCCTTAGGGGAGGAACAAGGTAAAAGCAGACCACAGCACCGATCCAAAATTGGCAGTTTAGTGGGTAGGAGAAAGTAAGTGCACAAGAGGTAAAACTGTAGATGAACTGTAGCTGAGGAGCTGAACAATGGGGTCCATTCCAGGTAGAGAAAGGAAAGTAAACTACACGCAATTTAAAGGGCACAGATTTGCCTCTCAGCACCATATGTTATTACAATGGTCTAAGATTTTTTGGCTTTTGTCCTTGACAATCCCATTAAATCAGATTTCCTATATCTTATTATTGTCCTAAAAAGAAATGTCTACAACTAACTTTGAAATTCGTAAGATATAATATGAACTAATGGACAAATAGGTGGATAGATATGTGATAAAGCAAGTAGAGTAAGCTATTAATAGTAAAATCTAGAAGGTGTATATATGTAAGGGAGTGTAGGCTCTAGAACAGCACTGTCCAATAGCACTTTCTGAGATAACGGAAAAGTTCTATAATCTGTGCTGTAAAATATGGTAACTACCAGCAATCTGGAGCTACTGAACCCTTGAAATGTGGCTACTGTGACTGAAGAATTTTGAGTTTTATTAACTTTTAATTAATTTAAATCGATGTAACCCCATGTGGCTAGTGGCTGCCATGCAGCACTAGATTCATACATCCCTGGATTCAAGTAAATCCTGGATCTACCACTGATCCAGGTTATTTTACTTCTCTGAGTCTTAGTTTATTCTTATATAAAATAAGAATAGCAATAGCACCTACTAATTCATATGGATTAAATAAGCAGATAAAGCATGAAGTACAATCCTAAGCATATGGCAAACACTTTTAAAAATTCATGTTTATTATTCCTACAAAATGGGCTCTATGAGATCAAAGGTCAGCATCTGTTCTGCTCACCACTGTATCCCCAATATCTAACAGAAGTGGTCCAGCATAAAAGACATTCAATAAACATTTGTTGCATGAATGTTTTTACAGTCACAAGACTATATTTCTATTAAATTGCATATTAAGTCCACTGCTCCAATCTGTTGAGGTCTTTTTGAATCCTAATGTTGTCCAATATATTGGATATCCCTTTCAGTATTTTCTGATAAACAAATATTATCACCTATATATTAATCTAAGACATTAATAAAATTAACCAGAGACCTATATCATTACTTTTAGCATCCTTTAGTTTATCATCATTTGTTAACTGGTAGCAGCTGAGAAGAGACATTCAGTTTAACTTCACCTTCACTCTGTTTATATCTCCATCTTGTCCATAAAGGTAAGAAGTATGAGAACCTTATAAAGATTAGATTATGCCAATACATCCTTCATTGAAACTACCCTTAAAGAGAACTTAAAGAAAAAACTCACCCTTCAATAGCTGGGGATCTATCAGGACGAGTACTTCCTCGTGATCTGTATCTTCGAGTCATTGGCAGCCGTGGAGGACGACTTGGTCCCCAGAAGTCAGTGTGAGTTTGGTGACCCCTCTCATTGGCTCTATTATCTTGGTCCAGTGGATTGCTACTTAGAAATGGTCTAAAATCTGGGAAAAACATCGTGTGGTCCAAATGCTCCCAGAGCTAGTAAAAACCAGAAATAAACAACACGTTACTGGTTTCAAGATCAGAGGAAAGAGGAAATGGTTAAGAATAAATACTGAAAAAGGAGGGAAAAAAATTTTTTTGGAATAGTTTTTAACACTTCGAAATACAGCAGTTCCAAACTAAAGAAGTGTATATTTCCCTAATTTCACGGAGGAGAAAAGAAATGTCTTTCAAGTGCATACATGGTGTGTGTGTATGGGGGGGCACTTATATACTGAGAAACTTAATTTCCCTCATACAGAAACAAGCCAACAGCTGGACCCTTTTCTTAATACTGAGCTCATATTCACATGCCTCTGGCCAGTTTCCCCTTCTGAAGTAAAAATGTGAGCCAGACATGACCATGGACTTCTGTCCTAAGCACAACCATTTAGATCATCATATTCTCGTGCTTTGTCACAAATAACATCCACATTTCTACTATATAATAACCTAAGATTTAAATAAAATGGATGTAGTTACACATTTTTTTTACAGATCATCATTACCACAAAGTGGAGACAGAGGACTACAAAATACTTCTATTATCTAGAAACTGCATCAGAAAGGGACATTGTCAAAGCTGTGCCAAAGCAGTGCAGGAACGTTTGGTAAGACTATTCTGTTGTACAAATTTTATCACTCAAAGGGTGTTGTTGGGGATGTGGGGACAGGAGTAGGGGGGGGATGTGTGTTTGGAATTATCCAACAAAGAGTGAATGGAAAAAACAAACCACCACTGAAATAATTTAAATTTTATTTATCTGTACACCAGATATTTTAGAGTTCCAGAGAATACTACCTATTTCACTCCATCCAACCAAGCACATAACTCTGGTTACATCCTGGTCTTTTCATTTTGTTTCAAAGTTTTAAATCAAACAGAAAAACTTATTATTTAATGCATATATAATAAGAGGGACACAAAACTGCTCAGCACATGACCTTAGGTCTTAAAATCCTCACAGCCCTCCTGCTCCAGACTGATCATTTCTTCCAGAGACCCATACTAACAATAGCCTCCTCTAGAAACATTCAGAGAACAGATTAGCAGGCCAGCTGCATGTTAAAGCTGATCTGATTTCAGACCCCACTCTAGTCTCAACCTAACATCCAATAACTTGTCAAATCGATTCTTGAAATTAAGGAGTTTGTTTAGGTTTGTCAAAAATGTTATTTTTGCCATTTTTTCCGGTTTACATTTTGCTTCTTGATTTTCAAAGATGTTTCCTCCTCCTTTAAAAAATAGACAATATAGTACAAAAATGTGAATGCAGAATATAAAATATGAAGTGCAATACAGTCTCCATTCATTCAGCTATGACCAATCCCTACCCCTAATTCCTACTCTGAGGTTAATTTGGTGTGTAGAATTCCAATCTTTAAATATCTTTGTGTTAACACACACACACACACACACACTCTTTCATTCAACAAATGAAACATTTAGCATGTACTCTGTCCCAATCACTTTCTGGGAACTATTTAAGATATGGCAGTGAATAAGATGTTAAAAAAAAAGAACCTCTGCCCCAGTGGATTTCATTTTTAAGTGGGAAGAGATACTACCCCTCCCCACAAATGGAAGGCAAAAGAAACTGTAGATATTAGACAGGGATAAAAGCCATGGAGGAAAAAGAGGCTTGCACTGACTCAGAACACACAAAGTCCTATCACTATTTTCAACAGCACCATAACATGGACGTTTTATATTTTATGTAGTCTTTAACATTTTTATTATAATATCTAGTATCTGATACATGTAAAATATAATGAGGTATAAGAAAGTAAAATATAGGGGCGCCTGGGTGGCTCAGTCGTTAAGCGTCTGCCTTCGGCTCAGGTCATGATCCCAGGGTCCTGGGATCGAGCCCCGCATCGGGATCCTTGCTCGGCGGGAAGCCTGCTTCTCCCTCTCCCACTCCCCCTGCTTGTGTTCCCTCTCTCGCTATCTCTCTCTGTCAAATAAATAAATAAAAATCTTTAAAAAAAAAAAAAAGAAAATACATACCCATATAACCATCTCTTAGTTCACATCACTAAAGCCACTGAAACCCTCTGTGTGTCCCTCCCTGCCCCAACCTCCAGTAACCACAACCCATAATTTTTTGTTTATTATCCCCTTGCTTTTCTTTACAGTTTTACTAGAAATGTATATATCCCTAAAAAAATGTGACTTATGAATTATAAAAGTGCCTTATGAAAGCACTTGCTTTTTTGGCTGCACATGTTGGTGCATTCATTTTCACACACATTTTATACCACACTTTTTAAAATCTTTTCTCAATAAACATCTAGATTGTTTCCAGGTTTTTGCTATTACAAACAGCCAGTGTGAACATTCATATATGTGTCGTCTGCTGCAGAGATAGAAAAGTCTCTCCATTTAGCAGTTTGTACAACTTTATATGTTCTATATATCTTCAATTTTACTTGGTAATGCCAAATTGTTTTGCACAGTAACTATCAATTCACACATCCACCAAGAGTTTCCACTGTACCAAATCCTGGCAAGCACTAGATATCACAGGGCTTTTGTTTTTGTTTTTAGTTTTTAGTTTTTACCAATCTGCTAGACAGAAAATGATATCTCATTGTAAGGTTTTTGTTTGTTTTTTTTGTTTCTGGTGTATAAGAATAAATAGGAGGGTTTATTTAAAATGCATATTCTTTGGCCCTACTCCAAAAAGTAAATTCAATAGGTCTACAGTGAGTCTGAAAGACTCCCTTTAGCCTTTCTTGTATGGAAGGTCTATTAGCAATGAAATCCCTCAAATGTTGTTTATCTGGGAATGTCTTAATTTCTCCTTCATTCTTGAAAGACACTTTCGCCAGAGTTTGGTTTTTTTCTAATTAAAGGATTTTATTTATTTGAGAGTAAGAGTGCACAAGCAGGGGGAGAGGGGGGAGGGCAGAGGGAGAGGGAGAAGCAGACTCCCTACTGAGCAGAGAGCACTCCAAGGGGCTGGATCTTGGGACCCCGAGATCAGGACCCGAGCCTAACGAAGACAGACGCTTAACCGAGTCACCCAGGTGCCCCACTTTTGCCAGATTTTGAATTCTTGGTTGGCAGTTTTTTCTTTCAGCACTTTAAAATGTCATCACTGCCTTCTAGCCCTCAATATTAACTCAACCTTGAATTCTTTTTTTTAAGATTTTATTTATGAATTCTTTTTTTTAAGATTTTATTTATTTATGTGACAGAGAAAGAGAGAGAGCACAAGCAGGGGGAGTGGCAGGCAGAGGGAGAGGGAGAAGCAGGCTCCCCGCCGATCAGGGAGCTCAAGGCAGGGCTTGATCCCAGGACCCTGGGATCATGACCTGAGCTGAAGGCAGATGCTTAACCCACTGAGCCACCCAGGCATCCCCCCCAACCTTGAATTCTTAGGATGAACACAAGCTGGCTTATAATACATTGCTGCATTCTATTTCTGGGGTTTGGGTGAATTTCTGCATCTATGTTCATGACAGAATTGGCCTCTAATTTTCCTTTTGTGTACTATCCTTGTCTGATTTTGCTATCAAGTTATCTTAGCCCCATAAAATATATTAGGAAGCATTCTTTTTCATATGGCCATCCTGTAGCATAGAAATAGAATTACTGGGTATAAGCATTTTAAATTTTGTTAGATAATACCAAGCTACCCTCCAAAGGTCTATACCAATTTATACTCCCACCAGAGTACAAGAGCTTACATTCTTCCATACTCTTGCCAACACTGTTTTTTAATAATTTTTAAAAACTTCTGATGTCCAACTGGATGAACAAAAAATAATATGCACACTACAAACATTAATAAGATTTCTCTAAATACTAGTGAAATAAAGCACCTTTTCAGTTTAACTGCTATTTTTACTTCTTATCATCAGACTTATTTTCCTTTCTAGGGACAGTCCCACCTCTGGTAAAGATAGCTGGTTTCTAGTCTGAAAAGTGGTCCACAACACAAAGTTTTGCTTGACCCCCAATTCCAAAGTAAATGCAACATTTAAATATCCAAAACTGTACTGCCTTTAATAAGTGAAAAAGTATTATCCCCTCCACTTTTTCCATCATCCAACATCACTAACATAAACTATAGGAAATGTACAATTCCCTTACTATATGAATAAAGTTCCAAAAAGTTTGCTCACAGAAAAGAACTCTCAAAGCAATCATTATAATTAACATAAAAACTAAGTATTTGAGAATTTTGACTAGAAGAAAAATCAAGTACCAAGATTCTAATATCAATAATCTGCATTGATAATTATACAACTTGTAATCACATCTAATACATGTAAAAATTCTGAAGGAATTCAAGATTAGAAGCAGCTGCAACAACAACATGAGGCATTTTGCTACTTGCCTGGAAACTGAAAATTAGCGTAAACAAATAATAACAATCAATGTATTTGTCCCAAATAGTGCACGCTGGCCACAGAACACAACATAAAAAGCGCACTACACAAATTTATACCAAATCAACACTAAGGATAAGAACAGCTGCAGGTCATTTGCTTCTGAGTAGACTTAAACAAGCATAAGAGAAAAAAAATAACTCTTCTATAAAACTGGGTGTTCAGGACATGGCTTACATGTAAGTAAAACCAGAGACCACTATTACAAAGTTTTGGTGAAACATCCAAAAGATTCACAGAGACCGTTTATTTGACAAGTTTTGCTTGAAAAACTGAAATGTTACTCTGAATGGTGGTAAAAAGACAATGCTTCTGAAAATACCTGTGCTGAAATATTTACAATATAAAAAACAGGATGGACAATACTTTCCATTTAGCAGAATTTGCTACTAGCTAACCATGATCACATCAGCAACTCTTAAAATATTATGGTCTGTTCCTCAGAAGTTAAAGTTACCATAGGACCCAGCAATTTCACACCTAGTTATATATCTAAGAAAACATATGTTCACACAAAAATTTATACACAAATATTCCTTATTCATAACAGCTAAATAGTGTAAACAACCAAATGCCCACCAACTGATGAGTGAATA